TAAGGTGGAAGAAGTGGTTTGGTCGTTTTTTTGTCAGAAAATTCCAGGGACGATACATTATTATTATAATAATATGATTATTAAAATTGCACTTCTTTCTCTTCTCCCCCATGAGACCCCATCCTCCTCCTCTTTTGAAAACGTATGAGTTACAGAAAATCCATGTCAGCTCGGCCTTTTTGGTTTGGGACTTCCTTGCTCCCAAAGTTGGTTAATAAATAAAAGATTGCTTCATTCTACCTCTGCCCTTCTGCTTCTCCCACTTGTCGTTCGCTTCTGCAGGGCAGTAAGGGTGGGTGAAGCGGTGCCCCTCTTTTTGAGCCATGATTCTGGCAGCTGTTACTGTCTGAGTGGACCCGTCGGTATGATTTAAGGGGAAAGTCACGCTAATATAAGGAAAATATTCTTACTGATATTGACGTGGTTGGCTTTGGGGATGCAACAGAATACTGTAGTCGGCACTTCCGTTAAGGTATGCGATGCCAACAGGCCGTTGGTGGGGACTGAAGTAAATATAGTAGATGGAAATAGAGGATATAAAGAGAATCTGGCCTCACTCTGCTGTCTGCTGAAGATGGCACGTTGAATTCTCGCAGGAAGTCTGTTGGATTTTGCAGTATGTTGGTGAGCTGGAGAGAGAAAAATAAAGGTACTTCTGTGGAAATATAATGGGAAGGGGGGGACTAAAAAGCTAAGAGTTGGTTTAATTTTAATATTGAGATCGGATTGCATTCTTCTCTTTGCCGCTTTCGTTGGAAATAAGACTGGGAATAAGTCTTTCTGTACAATGAGCTGCAGTTTTAGCATATGTCGGTTTTGATATCAGATGGTGGCCTATTGGGATATATTTTCCACAGGCCTTTCTACAGTTTTATCTGAAGATCCCAAGTAAAAATAAAGTGAATAGCACTCTGTTTTCTAGCATGTATTTTATCTAAACACGGTAGTGTTCGCTAGTAGAGCATTCCTTCTGAATAGACTGATTTTTGGGAGGAAGAAAATAAGAAAAGCTAGGTTTGCTACAGCAGATACTACTTCGGGTAGGTTGAACAGTGAAAATCGGTTGTAATCCCAGGATGTGCTATGAGAATATGGTGGGTTTGTGTGTGAGGCAGTTTACACTGTTAATTTGGAGAAGGATTAAAGATCAATTAGAAGAATAACAGAATGTTTCCTATGATAAATGGTTTGTCAAGATCCTGTTTAACTTAAGTTGAAATAAAATAGTTGACCTTCCACATACATTTTACAGGCAGCCCTTATTGCTAGGGTTACAATCTTAAGAATACATACTGGATATTAAAATCTTTTTAAAATATTGGGTTCACCTCCATATAACTGTGTTTAAGGTTGAGAAAGCAATCATTTTAATATGTTTTTGACATTCTGATGATCAGAAAAGCGCTTAGAGAAAATTTGCAGACTCTTCGTAGTTAGAATGTGTCTTTTTATGTTTGAAATATGGCTGGGCCTAAATGTATATAATGTTTTTTTAAAACCATAGTTTTATGACTGCACAAAACAGTTAACAGCAAGAAACCTTTGCTGTTGAAGTGTAAATGCTATAGAACAGCACAAGTGCGGGGCATTTCTAGTATTCCAGCATGTTATGAACATGTTAAGAATAATTAAATGAGGGGAAAAAAGCTTTGTCCAGTCTTGTTCATAAGGCTTCATATACCTTAGGGTACTTGGTGTAATGTCTCGACCAAAGAAACATTTAATTGACATACCAGTGACAAATGTTCTGTGGCTTGTATTTATATGAGAAAAATGAACGCTGTTCAATTTGGTCTTTTATAGATCAATATTAGCAGTGTTGGAGTTAATATTTTAATTTAAATGTGTCATTGCTTAAGTACAGGTTGGTAGATTTTTTTTTTTAATTTTTAGGTCTGGTATAATAAGACAGCATTATACATATTTAGGCGGAAGGTGTGGGAAACACCCTTGCTTTTGATCAGCTCTCTTACTGCATGGTAGGAAAGACATATTACAGTTCTGTGACTGGCAAGCACTTGATGCAATTATTTGTCTGCCTGGGAGAAATAAGGAATCCGATTTTTACCAGTATTTATGAAGAATGGAAGGAAAAGGCAGTGCAGATCTTATATTTTGGTATTACAGTGTTTAATGGTTGGATTTGAAGAAGGCTGAGAACATTAATAGTGTGCTATGGTAATCAGGGGCCAGGATGGCTGGGCAGATAAAGCCAGAGAAAGAGAAGGGCAAAATTGGAGCCTTCTGCAGCCAAATAGCCTTTGATATATAGCTGCTAAAATTTAGTTTTGTGTATGAGACTCAAAATGGAGGCTTGTGCTGTAGTGAGTGCTAAGAGAAAGCTTGGCACCACAGATACTACAGTGCTTTCGTGAGCAATGCCCTCTTTAAGCAATGTATTTTTTTTTCCTCAGGCTTGTGGAAAGCTATCTTAGAAAATGAATTGCCATGCCAAAAGATACTGGGGTATCTGTAGGTCTGCATTAGTCAAGCAGGTCTTGTGCTCCTGTACAGTAGAAGAAAAAGGGGCTTGTGCATAAAAATAATGCAAACCAATGACTGGAATGTTTGGTGTCTCTGCTAGATTTTATGGCTGAAACCGTCCCCTGTGCTGGCTGAGTGGGGCAGATGGGGAGAAAGGGGGCTTTCTCGTTCCAAGAGGGGGAGAAGGAGAAAGGGTAGGAAGCAGAACCAAGGGTGTTTTCTCATAGGACGTGTGGGAGGGTAATCAGCTTGATAGGCAGTTTAAGGTCATGCAGAATATATGAAGAGGATGGGGAAATAGTTTTTAGAGTGCAGATGGGAGATGTTGTACAGAAGGAAGCTTTTTTGCAGCAGTGGAGTGAAGGGAGGGCCAAAGAGTTGTGTGTCTTGGCTGTTCAGTGCATATGACTGGCTGATGGCATGGGTTGAAGACATCAAGAATCTCCAGACCAAACTGGCAACATGAACTGCAGCAAGTTGGTCTTGCTACTTTTATGGTTTGAAATGGCAGTTGCATTAGATAGCCTCTCTTTTTTCCTCTTAAGACAGTGTTTCTCAACCTTGGCAGCTTGAAGATGCTGGCTGGGAATTCTGGGAGTTGAAGTCCACACATCTTCAAGCTGCCACGGTTGAGAAACACTGTCTTAAGATACTGGAGGTCTACATTGTGCCTGTTTCAATAAAGACCCTGGAAAAAATGGATAGTGAAAAATTCCAGGCTTCAACTCTGACACATGACTTTAGCTTGACATTTATTTTTAGTACAGTTGCAGTTTCCATTGGCAATTACAACTTTTTTTTTCCTTTCAGTTTTCAGGCTTGCACTGCATCGCCCAGGTTTGGGGAATATTGCTTCTTGAACAGGAGCAGCCACACGTGTCCTCCTGGATTTCTACTATTATTTTCTGAAACTGATTTGTTTTTGCTTTCTAGGTGCTGGTGAATCTGGTAAAAGCACAATTGTCAAACAAATGCGGATCTTGCATGTGAATGGATTTAATGCAGAGTAAGTATCTATATTTTTATTGCATTATTTGAAGATGCAGGTGTCATTTAAGAATTAATTATTTTGTGGGTTCCTCGCCCCTCTCCCCCATGTTTCATTTAATCCAAGACATGGAAATTGGATTTCACAAATGTGTTTAAGGGAACTGTCATTAGCTAACATCATCAAAGGTTCACTTGTCAGGTTTTATGAAGGCAAGGTTTTGGCTGCAGTTTCTTCCTCATTATGGCTGGCATGCCAACTTTTGCTGTTTCTCATTTTGTACTGTTCTCAGTGCTTTCCTGCAAAGAAGAATAAATATGAAGTAAACTTCACATACTTGATTATAGAACATTAAGGTTTGCTTCAGGAAATTTTTCCTGTGGTGGAATGCTGATTCAGATAGTTGGATTTCTGTAGTTGTAGTTTGTTTTCCATTTAGGTTGTTGATCTGATGGGCCAAATACTATGAAGTATGAAGATACATTCAGAATTTAATTTACAGGTTTACACAGGCAGTTAAATGTTGCATTGCGACTAAGCCAGTAACTTCAGATGCTTTGAAACCTCTCAAACCTTTTGCAAACTTTGTGTGTGAGGATCTACTCGAGTTAATAGTTTTTTAATTCATATTCTAGGTTGGAATTACATGCTTTATAGAAAAATCTATGCTTCTAAGTAATTTCTTCAGAAAGTGTCAATTCAAAGAACTTTTTTTTCCCTTCAGAATTGTTCCATACACTGCCCCCCACTTCTGTTATTGATAACATGGGCCAGGATCCAGCTATCTGCTCCATTAATTCTGAATACCCAAAGGTGTTTTCCATTTTTTTTGTGGGGGCAAATGCAGAGAACTTTAAAACTGAAAGCAGTGGAGAGGAAGGAGACATACAAAAGGAGTTTGTTATAATGGCATGTAAGAGCCAATTTGGGGTAGTGATTAAGGCACCAGGCTAGAAACAGGAAAACTGTGAGTTCTGGTCCCATCTTAGCCACAAAGCCAGCTGGGTGACCTTGGGCCAGTCACTCTCAGCCCTAGGAAGGAGGCAAGGGCAAACTATTTCCGAAAATGTTGCCAAGAAAATGTCAGGGACTAGTTCACCCAGTTGCCAGGATTCAACACTGACTTGAAGGTGCTAAAAAAAAAAAAAAAGAATGTCTACCATTGGGGATCAGATGTCAAAAATCCCACAAGCAGTGTATCTAAATAGAATGAGGCATTTGGATCTCATTTTGGATTCCTCATTGAGTTCACATCTGTTACACCATGGGAAGATCCCTGCTTACCAGGCCAGAGGGACCACATTTTGATTCTGTCTGGCTCAGCAAGATACTTCCAGGAGATGGAGACTTCCTTTAGAATTTCCTCCTTACCTTCCCCTCAAAAACTTTATTCAGTAATATATTGCTTCTGAGCATGGTATTTCTGTTTAGATAATGGGACTAATTGTTGTAAAAGACTTATCTTTGAATTTATTTAATCCCTGCTGAAAGTATTGCAAGCTAGTGTGTTGTGTGAAGAGATACTACTTGCTGTTGAACAAATTTAGTGCAATTTTGCATCGTGGAGAAGGAGGATGTTTTTTCACTGGGTATTTTATAAAATTTCTTAGGTTCTCCAAACCAACAATCCATAATGCTTCTGTTTTGTTTTGTTTCTCCCCCTTGGGAGAAGTTGCTTGATTTCCATGATCAGATTTTTACATCTTGCCCTGCTGTATCTTTCAAAAAGGGTGACCTATATCATATTTCAGTGTCCTAATTGTGCCTTGTCATATTTAATCTTTGCTAGTGTGGAAACTGTTGTTTTTGTTGCTCCTTACAAGCCATGGGTGATCTGACTCTTCAGTCAGCCCTTTGAAGAGGGAGAGGGAGACCCTTCACTTCATCTTACTTGTCATCTTTTATCTTTTATTGATTTTACTGTAATTTCTTTGATTGTTGTGAGCCACCCAGAGTCGTTGAGAGTCAGGCAGCATACAAGTTTAATAAATTATTATTATTATTGATAAATCATCTGTGTAAAGGCTACGTAGGTCGCAGTGATCCATGTGGTGGTTCATACAAGACAATAGCTATAGTTTGGCTGACATTCCATCATACTATTACACCATTGTTGAAAAAGATGGTCCTGAGTTAATGTAGCTTTCCTTTTGGAAGAAAAATATATTATGTATCTAGTATGTGTTTTTGGTTTTTATGTTTTGTAAAAATAAGGAGGAGTCTAGTAGCATCTTTTCTGACTAACACATTTTATTAAAAGGCATGAATCTTTTAATATGATATGGGATTTGAAAAGAGGATAAGAGGGGAGGGGAAGGGTAGTTATGTAGATACAGGTTACATCTGAGACAACATACCTTTTCAGTTAGCAATTGTAATGTTAAAACCCAGTTTTGGCTAAGACCTTCTGACCCAGCCTGAAACCTGTTGATGTCTGTAAATTCAACAATCTCTCAGTGGATTTTGCTTTCTTTTTCCAAACAGCTGCTTTGAAATCTGCAGTGGAGTGTTGTGGGAGATTAAAATATTGATTACAGATTTCAAAGTGGTCATTTGAAATCTGTGCCCCCTTGCCTCATCCCCTTTTCAAATCCTGCATCAGTTTAACCACTCCATGCATCTTTTGAAGTGAGCTATAGCTCACAAAGGCTTCTCCATTTAATAACATTTGTTAGTTGGAGAAACTGCTACCACACTCCTGATTTGTGGATACCATAGACTAACATGGCTTCCTGACATTTTGTTAATGGTCATGGGTGTAATGCTTATCATTAAAGAGTGTTATCTCTCTTTGAGAATAAACTTTTTAATGGATTTTAATTGCTGAATTGTCAGCCAAAATTATGTCTGAAATGCATTTTTAAGTCCTTGTTTATGCCTGGTGTTCCAGAAAGATATCTGCTTTGTTCTAGCATATTTAAAGGTTACCCATTCTATCATTATTTTTCGTTGCTTTACAGAGAATTAAGTATTAAGCAAGTCTGATATTGTGCTATTAGACTTTCTGATTAGATAATGTACACAATTTTCTGATGGATTCCTTGCTAAATTTCTGCTTACTTCATAGTGATTTGAACTTATTTTCTTTAAAGCACAACTAATCAGTCAGATTTTTGAATATTTTAAGTGCTTATCACCATAAACAAACAGCTATGCTATCTCTGTGAGATTTAAAATGTAGGGTTTTTAAAAGAATTTTATTAGATTTATCTTCTGCCTTTGTATCAAGAGCTCAAGGTGGCATACAGTAATGCTCCATCTTCCCATTTTTTTCACAACAACCCTGTAAGGTAGGTTGGGCTGAAGGAGAGATGGACTGGCCCAAAATCACCCAGGAAAAACTTCTGTGCCTGAGGCTCAATTTGAACCTGAATCTCCCTGGTGCTGGTCTCCAGAGTTAAGAGCGGTGCATCTTAAAGAGCTAGACCTCAGGGATAATATGTGCTACATAAATCTAAGTAGTAGGGTGATTATGGCATTCAGAGTTTAAGAACTGTTGAATCTTTTTACATATAGTTGTGTGGTTGTTATGATTTCACCAGCTATTATCATTTTTTAATGTCTCTGCAGTACAAGATGTTAATTTGAAAAATCCAAGCCTCTTCAATGTTTATAGATTTCCATCTTTGCTCACAAAATGTTCATCATACAAATGGATAGCTGTGCAGACTTAATAGGGCACCTACAATGCAAGGGCCCCAGGAAAATGGGCTTGGTGTTTTTACCTCTGTCAGCTCCCCTGGTCATGCTAGAATTCAGTTTCAGTTGAAACCAGGGAACTGACTTCTAGTTTACACAAATTAATTTTCTGTGGAAGTTGTTTCAACAGAAATTGTCGGAACGTTGATTTGATCTTTTTCTAAGTAAAGGCCTTTTCAGCAGTGACTATCATAGAAGTGTTGTAGATGCTCCCTTTTGTAACTGTCATGAAGATCCTATAGACAGTTTGATTTCATCAAGAGTTGTATTCATTTTATTTCTGGCCTATTTCTGTTTACCTCATGCTGCTTTTATTCT